TAACCACATGGGATTGTGCATTTCTGCAAAGTGTGATATGAGGCCGATATAAAACATGTTTGCGTCAAAAACATCGACATTCGATGTATCCCTTGGTTTGCAGACACGTACAACATAATCTCTTGCGACTGCCGGTAGGAAACAGGAAACGGATAGCAGTCTTGTGTGGCAAAGTTTGCCATTTTGTTAATCCATATTTCCGTACCAGGACCCTCACCCAATACGAACTTTGTCGCTCTATAACAACAATATCTGATTACTGTTTTGCTCCCAATGACCAAGAGTTATAATAACTATGGAGGGTTTGTCGTCTGAATGTAGAAATGTGCTCTGTTGGGGCATTTGCAGGAGTGCCACAGAACAGATACGCCCCCATTTTGTTCAACCCATCCGTCTACACAGGCAACTGATGTGTTCCGCTAGGCCTCCTGTGTTAGCTGACTCTTCTCAAAGTCCAACATAATATGGCTGTATCCAAAATCAGTCACTCATCCACTTAATTAATACTCCCAACACAAATGATAAACAGTTAAATATCAGTTTTATTTATAGTGAGCAGAGCAGTGAGAGGTGTAGGTCTATTCAAAATATATGAATTCAGATTTTGGTCAAAAGCAGTGCCCATAACATGGAATTTAATTTAATTTAAATGTATTTAAATTCAATGAAGCACGGTAGGAAGTACAGTCCATTTGGTAGCAAATATGATGGTGTCACCACTTTATTCTAGCCTTGACACTAGTTTTTCACACTGGCATGAACAGCCGCATTGCGATGACAATATGGATGCTTGTTTGTCTTGATTGGAGATCCACGGTCATTCAAATCCGCATTTGTATATGTATTACTTTGTATGTGCACTACGTTGCATTATACTAGCATAATTAAGCAACTCAGTCAGGGCACATGACACCGGCTGTATACACAGAGTCAAGCTGCTCTGGAATACTATGGAGCCTGGATCTGCTCCCATCAAAAATACTTCACACTGGATCTTAGAATACCATCAGTGTACTACATATATAGCACACTGATAGTATTTTAGGACCTCTTTTGTAATAATTTTTTGTCTGTTCGTCTAGAAGAAATAGATTTGTGTGGACATGTAGATAAGAAAGTCTTGACAAATTGGTGATGTAATAAGTCCATAAATAACTTCAGGGCGTTATAAATAAATTGGTTCGCAGTCATTTTACCTAGTTGGATCACAAACGTGTGCAGGCAACGCATTTCAGAATGTTTTCATCCGTGCGATCTGCTTTGAAGCCTTGTTTCTAACAGCTGACGGGTCGCGAATGCTTGTGATGACAAGAGATGACAAGAAGTGAAGAACTGAGAGGAAAAAAATGGCATAATGGAGCGGAGCAGCAGTTAGCCATCTTGCTCTCTCTCTCCCCTTCTTCACAGGACTCGTTTTTCCCTTTCATTCTTCAGCTCTCTCTCTCCGCGTCCCTCCGCTCCCTCCCATCCTCCCATCCTCCCCTCTCCCCTGTTCGATCCCTTCTCTTGCTGCCTTTGAAGTTATTCCCTTCCAAGTTCAGCATGCAGTGTCTTGAGAGAGTAGAGGGGAGGGAGGAAGACGGGGGGAAATCCCCCCCAACGACTTCAAAGGGCTGTTGGAAGGTGGGAGGTTATTTTTAGCCCGCTGGTGCCCACTTTAACATTTGAGTTGAAGATGGAGGGGACGGGCAGATAGAGGAGTTGGGACAGAGTACGTCACGGCGGTCATTACTGTCACACTGCCCTGCAGTACACAAAGAAAGGACTTCTCTACATCTGATCCAACTCTACTGAATCAGTAGCTTTCAGCAGTGGCATTTGTTTCACTGGTGACTTATAGGCGCCGCTGATACAGTGCGAACGTAACATAGTCTGAATTGATTAATAACGCCACAGCGTATTGAATGTTGATACATTTAATTACCAGCGTGAGTGCATTTGGAGTGGTCGACTTGGACTCCTAAGCACCACTGCACACCTTCACTTTGGAAATGTTTCAGATTTAAATTCAGAAAATGGGATTTGAATTGCTTCACAGCACAAATACATAAATCCTTGTGCCTTTTCAGCTGGTGAACAAAATTGGTGTTTGTTCCACCAAAGCAAGATTTAATATTTAGCACAAAGGTAAATGATTGGTTAAGGAGAATGAAGTGTCAGGACATGGCTCTGCATCCACATTTTCAGAAAGCCCACACTTAAGAACATCGGACAAGTTTCATGCCAGATGAGGAAACATTCATCAAAAAGCCATAAAACATGTAACCCGACGCTTATTACTCAGTTAATGATTTCTATCAGCTCTCATCTATGCTAATATCTCGCGTAAAGGTCATAAAAGAAGCTAATACCATGATGATTTCCCCCGACGATTACTTCCATCGCTCTTCTATTCTCTCATTACTTACCGTGTTATCGTCATTATGCTCTCTTCCATTCCATTCTCTCATTATGCCTGCAATCAGTCGGTCGGAGGAGCGGTCGCATTTTCCAAGCTGCGTGTGTCTCGGCCTGAGATACGACTCCTCATGTTTGCGTGGTGCTCTCCTGTGCACAGAGAGGTGGTGACTAATCTGATATCCGCCCTCATCATGTTGCCACTAGTTCACCACCCACCATTCGCTCATGATGGATGGGTGGTGGGAGAAACACAGGGTCTTCAGAGGGAATCACTAATGTGCCAGGGTAATACACTCAGATCCATCAGCTTCAGACCCTACTAGCATAACGTGTTCCTGCCCTTGTTCAATTCTTACCCGGGACCTTTGTCTCCCTGTATACCCTGCCATTTTTATAACGTAAGCTGTCCGATGAAGGCACAAAACCTCAGTAGCAATAACATGAAAGAGCTTGGAATGCTGCTGTTTATTTTCTCCAGAGAATTATTTTGCACACAGCCAATCAAATCCCTTGAATTTTTAAATAGTCACAGTTTTAGCTTTAATTGATAGCGAAACAAACACTTTTAGCTACACAACACAAAGAGAGTCACATTAACTCTCTGGCTAATGTCGCCTCGTGTACAAACAGATTGTGGGGACTCAAAGAACAAAACAAAAACAAAGATCTGTGGGTCTTTTGCTACTTCCAGGAAATAAAATAATAAAGAAACATGTCGATTTAAGAGTTGTCATTTCTGCCGCCAGTTTGTCATTAATGTAGCTAGGTTGCCAGTGTTGCCAATGATTTCAAAGGAAAGTAGTTAAAGCCTGCCAGAGAAGTTATGTTGCTGCGCAGCCTTAAACTCCAACACAGAAGCTCTCACTTCCCCCCACCTACTCGGTTATTATATGTCACCAAACTAACCAGCAGCAGTCGAAATTGAAGCACTGCAACCTTAAACGGTGTAGCTTAATGAGCCTATCTTTAGATTACTTTAATGAGTGCATGTTGAGCCTCCAGTGTTGTAGTAGAGATCGGTCTCGGTCTCGAGACCGATCTCTGACAACCCTGCGGTTTTGACCAGTAGCTGATCGATCAATGCATCTCTACTTTAAAATGTATTAAGAGGTCCAGACCCTGACTTGCTGAACAAGCTACCAGACAAACATCAACGGTCAAAAAAGCTTGAAGCTAACATCAGTTTGCAGACTTGATGGCTATTTGGTTAAATAAACCACTTGCTGTTTGTCCTTAGCTCCGGTTACTTGCATGAGTTGGTTTATGTTGTGTGTCAAACACAAACACAGGCCTGCCCATAAAAAGAACAATTGTTATGTATCATTTCAGTTGGAAGTGCATGCATCAGCTAATGGAAATCTTTTTGTTTTCTTACATCTCTGTATCGACAGCAAGAGAGAGATCAGTAGTGTGTCTGAACTCCTTGTTTACTCCTCCATTCTACATTTCGGCCCGTGATCTCTCGATTACTATACGCCTCATTCCACGCAGCAGCTACAGTGTTTGAACGCAGCCCAACATCCTTCAACAGGCACACATGGCATTTAAAATATTCACAGTTGCACACCAATTAAGTTGCGGACGTTGAATCTTCTGAACATTTCTTTGGACCGAAGCGTAATAATCTTCAACTCAACGCCAAATCTGTTTTACTTTCCATGTGTACCACAAGTGATGTTTCCCACAGAAAAGACATGTGTGGTCTGGAATGAAGATGCAGCGTGACGTCTGCCATGTATGTTTCCCATCTCCCGGCGGAGATTACTTACAGCCCCTCAGGCACTGGCTGACTGCTATTTAAACAGTGCTGGTGTGCAGGGAGTATGGCACAATCAGCTCCCCCGGTGATGCTCACTTTGATGAATGAGCAGAGGTGTAAAGTATAGATTACCATTTTTGTTGTAGTGTCGAAATTGCATGCATGAATCTTCCCGAGAGGGCTTTGTACTGTGTGCGCTCCCGGTTGTTTGTGGGTGTGAGTGCATGCAGGTTCATTTGTGATCTGTAGGTTTTAAATCTGTGCAATGCACTTAATGCCCTTGAGCAAGACATCGGACCCCCAAACTGCTCGGGCACTGTTTAGTAGCTGTGCAATGCTCCTTATACGAGGATGGGTTAAATGCAGATTAAGTGCTGTACTGTGTACAATCACAGACTGTATATAAGAAGTGGAAGTAGTCATTGTGTCCATTGGTTTGTGGACCACCATTTTGAAGCCTAAAGTTTGTAGTTTTGCAACCAGAGGAGTTGCCATTAGCCATTAGAAAGAATGCAGGTTTAAGGCACTTCTACGTTGGCTTCACTTTCCAACGTGGAGGGGACGCTGCCTGCGTCACATGCTGCTCTGCATATCAATGATGTGTTAATTATCTAATTTACTGATCTAAATGTGTTAAACTGTGTCATATTTTTCAAGATATGCTGAATTTGTCGAGCAAATTTTTCTCCCTCAACTTCTATTCTTCCCCTTCTGTTGTTTAGAATCTCTCTTTCTTTGTCTCCAACCTTACTCCTAACACCACCATGACACTCTCTTTATCTTGCTCCTGTAATCTCCACACTCTAACCCTGCTTCTCTCCTCCTCTGTGTCCTGCTGCAGGAGTGTGCCTGGTGCTGGGTTGCATGATCTTCCCCAACGGATGGGACGCCGAGGTGATCCGGGACATGTGCGGGGAGCAGACGGGGAAGTACTCCCTGGGCGACTGCTCTGTACGCTGGGCCTATATGCTGGCCATTATGGGCATCCTGGACGCCCTCATCCTCTCCTTCCTGGCCTTCGTCCTGGGCAACCGGCAGACAGACTTCTATCTTGAAGATTTGCAGATGGACAACAAAGGTCAGTGAAGGCATTCTCCAGCATTCTCCACCTATAGAGCGCTATAGGTGCCCAGTTGGCCAACCAATTTTTTTATTTTTAGGCCTTTAAAGGGACAGTGTGTAGGATTTGGTGGCATCTAACAGTGTGGTTGCAGATTGCAATTAACTGAACCTGCTCTCTCACTTTCCAAGACTGCGATAACATGAGCCGCTGCGTCCACACCATAATAACACTAACTTAGGAGCAACCTAAGTCGGACAGCGGATGGTTTTTCCCCTCTGCGGCTCACGTTACCTCAGTTTCACAATTGTGTCAGAGAACTACGGCGGCCTTCAGGTTTTTTTGTTCGGGTTGTCCATTCTGGGCTACCGTAGACACATGGTGGGGCAACATGGCATACTGCTTGAAGAGGGCCAGCTCCCTATGTAGATATAAACGGCTCATTCTATGCAACAACACAATTGCACTGATAAAAAACAAACAAAAAAGACTTGTGAATATTATATTCCACTTCTGTTGATAGATCCCCTTAATGCCACACACTGGCTCTTTTAACTGTAAGGCAATTAACGTGAACAAGATTTGCCCCGGTCGAAAACAAGACTACACACCAACCTCACCTCAGCAACTTCAGCCACATTGCTCTCAGTGTTGTGTTCAATAGTTTCTCCAGCCTCCGGAGGGCTTCTGACAGTTTGCACGATGTTGCGTCAGGACATTTGAATTGCTTTGTTTCAGCAATGTGAAAAGGGAAAGAGGAAGAGGAGGAAAGGAACGGCAGAAGAAGGCTTTGGAGGGGCAACAATAAAAGATACAATGCCAAACAATAAAAAGTGTCCTTACATGAGGATCGTGCGTTAGATTTGACACAACGTGCAACAACACAAACAGAACCAGAGCGAGGGTGAAAGACTTGAAGATGGATCCGTGACATGAGACAGAGAAGACTGAGGGATATTCAGAAGAGAGGAGTAAAGAGACCGAGAGGGAAAAGTGACATAAGACGTCTCGGTTCTCTCCGCGATGGTTTCCATGGTAACTGGAGATGTTCCAGAGCGTGGGCGTGTCTTTCTGTCTTTATCTGATTAACCTCATTGACAGTGTCACTGATTCTTTTTTTTTTACATATTCGAAGCATCTAGTGCTTCGCTCGCATTTCTTTCACAGAAATAAATGTTTCCTTTTGCTTCTTTATGTCAAATTCTAAAACAAAACTGCCTGACAACCTCTGGACGATCCATGAAAGCATTTGTATTGTCGTGTGACGGACAAAAGTTGAAAAAGCAAAGATCAATAATGAGAAGAAAATTAAATGAATGAAAACTGTGGCAGCACATAGGGTCTTTATTGATTTAGTTCATCATTAAGTGATGACCTAAATGCCTAACTCCTACCTACATAAGCAGATTCATGTTTTTATACAGGCATGCACTTCTTCTGCTCTTGCCTCACCGTGTCTGTGCCAACACTTTTGTTCTTTTTTTTGTCCTTGCAGATTTTGCTGTGTTGAGGGTAAGTTGACTTTTGCCTTCTACATTTTCATTCTACATTAGCCTCTGAGCACAGTACAGTGCTCCGCCGCGTTATGTGGCTGACAGAGGTGGTGGAGGGGTCCTTCGTCCTGCTCATAAATCATCCCACAGATTGCAAACCCGAGCAGATTTTTTGATCATTTATTGCTGAGACAGTAATACCAGTGATTTATTGTTTAATACCATCATTCTGTATGCTGCCCCCATAGACACACCCACCGCCCATATGTCTCATATGACTACCGTGTATGAACTATTATCGGTATTATTTCAAATAAAAAAAGCCTACCCAAACAGAGTTAAATATGTTGGAGTTGAGAGAGTAGCCAGCTTACAAGCTAATTCCAAACCAATGAAAATCTAAATTGTGTGTTTACCTGCATTCAGCCAAAGCCTACTCTGACGTGATTGGTCAACACTACTCGGACTACAAACGGAAAACCAGAACACTTGCGATACCAAATGTATTGTCCTGTTCCATAGAAAGGCAGAACGTGTTTACAGAGATTCACTTTTGGAGTAACGCAACCCAACGTCACGCTGCGGCTGCCAATCACATAAGAGCTGTACAACCAGCCATGAGGGGAGATCGGCGCGCAGTCGCTCGGTGTTAATGGGCCATTAAATGACACGAGTGCAAAATGTTTTCCAAGACGCGCCAAAAAACCCCACAGCACTCAACATCAGACAGCCAGCTGCAGCAGAAGACGACGTTACCAGCAGTAGACCGACTATTATGGGAAAGTAGAATGACACTGAACGAGTGCAGAAAACGCTGCATCCACCTGCTCCTCTCTTTGGTTCAATTTACCGAGTTAGGAATTAGTTTTTCCCGTGAGATATTTATACGGCACGACTTTGTTGTGTTGATGAGCTTTAACTTGTAATGGGAAAACAACACGGACTCTAAAAGGAGATGTCTTGTATTTAATTGCTTAAACATGCTAGCACGTTTTGAGTTGTTGTTCAGACCTGAGGGGGGCGATCACGTCATTTTTTCAATTATTCCGACACCACCACCTACCTTTGAAACGTTTATTCTTGATGTTTCTCTCTCTGTAAATCGGTACAATGAGGATCCTCTGTGTTCTCCTCTCCAGATCGAGGTGCGGGACAGAAGAGAGCCGAGGTACGGAGTGCAGCGTCTTCACTGAGGGCAACAATGCACTGGACACAACTCCTCTCTTCTTCTCTTCTCTCCAATGATCAGGATATCACCCAATCTTAATGCAGACACCAAGTGTACAGGATTCTTTAAAAGAAAATGAACAAACAAACAACTGAAACACAGTGGGATAAACTATATTTTCAACAAAAAATAAGTTGTACAGTGCATTTAAAACTCGACTTTCTCAACGAAAACTTTTATGATGAAAAAAAAGGAAAAGATTTCCTGTATTTAAAGTCTTGATTTGTGTGAGAAATCCAATCCTTAAGATGAAGAACCATCATGTCCATATATGATTTACACTATTTATTTCAAATATTGCTATTTAGCGGCTTTTGAGTTTGTGTCTTTGTGTACATTAGTGGCTCTAAGAAAGAGGATTACTGGCACTGAGTCGAGGCTTGTGGTACAGCAGCAGGTCCATTATTAAGCATTCGAAACACTTGAATGGCTCTTCATCTAAGGAGTTTCAGACGTGAGGAAATTTAGAAACAAAGGAGCACTATACTACTACATACTATTGCGGCTTTACAGATATTTAACATCTCTGGGAGATTCTCTACTGTACATATTTAACAATGTAAATAACATTACTGCTGACAAGCGCAGCCGACGACAAAACCTCATCCGACTCTAGTGCATTCAAGTGTTTCTACCCTTTGGTTGCAGTGTTCCCTGTGCCAGAAGAGCATCGGAGGAGTACCCATTGTGTCCCCATGACTCCTCACTGCTGATTTGGTGGGATTAGACAAACGGGGAGTGAATCGGATATCTTGGCTGGATGTTCTGCAGAGAAGCAGGGGACTGTGAATCAAAGTGTTTGCATTTTTTTGGGACACAGAGAAAACTAATTTGCTTCCCCTGCATCACCACCGCCTCAAAACAAGCCTCTCATTGTAGTATTTCACCCTAAAATAAGTTAAATTGTCTTAGAAATCACATTGTGTTTTGTTTTTTTCTCATCCGAGTTCACTCCTCCATAACCCCCTTTCACCAGTGTGCAGTTTACTCCAGTTTATGGCTCCAGCATACAGTGATCAGTTTACTCTACAGATGTCTTAAAGCTCGGTGAATACGGCTGTACGAGTCTCTCAGAGGGAAGCCTCAAGTGCTGCATTGTCTTAAAGTGATGTCACTTATTTGCCTCTTTGAATAAGCAACGCGACGAGTCATCAGGAATCTGCAGCGGGACAAAAATCACAGCAAATAACCCCCCAAGTATCAAGGACTTGCTGTCGTACCATGTTAAATATACATTTGTATAGTAAAAATACTGAGATCAAGAGTCTACAGGAAATCCTCCCCCTAATAAAGTAGCGTAAAAGTAGCCAAACTGGAATCTATTGGGTCTCATGCAAGAACATTTCAGAATTTTTCCTTTTCTCTGGGAGGTTACAGTATGTCGGATGAGCATTCCGCGTTGGATTCAGCAAATTTTTGAGAAGTTTAATCCAGATCAGAGGGCATATAGTCACCGGCCCCAAAGTGAGTTTTATTCACAAAAATGTTACCAAAGAGTAAAAAGAAGAAGCTTCAAGTCCTGCTGTCGGATACCAGCAGACAAAAAGCAGCAGTTTAAGTAGTTTTATTAAAAAAGGACCCGAAACGGTGCCAAACCGCGTCAAAAAAAAGTGAATTGTTCAACATTGTGTTAGATGCTAAAATAACATCGAGCTAAAGCAAAGCAGACCATGAGATGGGACGAGCTCAATGCAAGAAGAGAAAGATGAGAGAATGTTATACAGTAGAAGATGTTCCAATACTGTGAGACCCCTTTAAAACGACCTGCCACCTTTTAGAAGAACGAGATGTGCATAAAGACTTTGAGGCAGCTGACAGCAACTACACTGAAGAAGTTGCCGTCAAGAAATAGGCAAACTTTTTTATTGATTTTGGCAACATATTTAAACTTCAAATCCATTGAAACATAGGCATTACAATTTGCTAGTCAAACAAGCTATTTCTCCCTGTGGAGAAATGCAGAGTTTCTGTTCTCGACTGGTGCATCAGGTCTGGACTACTCTGCAATTGTGTCCGTCTGAATTTAAAAATGAATCTGTTCCTACTGTACAAAGGATTCTTGTATGAGGCCCATTGAGTCTAACATTTCTGGAATCAGCCAATAAAATAGCCGCCATATGTTCCAGCAACAAAATAATAATGTCAAAAAAAGAAAATCACTGATGTAGCATTGTGACATGCCACCGTTACCACCCAGATTATTGTCGCCACGACAACAGTGAACCTCGATGTAGCGCTCAAGACGAAGCCACTCGTGTCGGCAGTTGTGATTAGAAACACCTCCAACATGAATTATGTGCCGACGCGTTTGTCACAGTGATCAAGTTGGAATTTCTATAGGACAACCCAGAAGGGATTGGCTGACACACCCAAGATGTCTGATTGTTAAATCATATGAACGGGTGCTGCTTTGAACTAAAAATTGGCACCTGCTCCATAAATAGGAAAATACCTGCAAGAGCATTCTTTGCTTGGTCCGATGGCGCTGCCAGGATGAGGTCAGTGACTCAACATTTTACCCGTGAGCACAGCTATGGCCTCTGTAGGCAACGACTCCGATTGTCATGATATTAGTGAGAAATGTGATGCTAACATGTGACAAGCTGCGGTTGCGTGGTACGATAAAGCTGGCTGCTGGAATCCAGAGCGCCAGGGGGCTCTTAGCCCTCTCGGAGCAGCACTTCAGGCTGATTTACTAGAACTGAACCTCCTGAGGCACCAAAGCTGAGTCCCAGTCTTCACGGATATGAAGTTAGTTGTGTAATAAAAGCACAAATTGAATTGTTTCATATAAGAAATTGGCATGCTTTGCCCATTTGGTGGGTTGATGGTCAACCCTGAGAAGTAATTGAATCCATTCAACTGAATAGTTCAACCACACACGGTGATCTGCGTCCTCCAGCAATGAACCTAATGGACGTTTACTGCATCATATTTGACTGTAGTCTATGTTACCCTTTGTTAGGGAGGCACTGTTGACAATAGTATCCATCTTAAAATATCCAGGCTGCTCTCATCCAGCGTTCGTAGCTATAGAAAGTAACGCTCGGTATTTTCGTAGATGTCTTACGAAATCAAATCCGATGTAATCCACGTAATCATAAACCAGACCACAAAAGCCCACAGTGGGCAGAAGTCTTTCAGCCAGGAGACTGCTGTTCGTTCTCCATGTGGAACGAGAACATCAACGATGATTTATTTGTCACGTAACTTGCATACTTCAGAAACGGCACATCTGTACTTATTTTAACCCAAACTGTGATCTTTTCCTAAACCTAACTAAGTAGTTGTGTTACGTTGAAATACGTTGAAATATCAGAGGACGCCGTTTGCTTTTACAAAACAATAAAGCAGTTACAAATCGGAACAATGTGACCTTGACATTCCATACACATAATATAATGTGTTAATAAACAGTAAGCCAGCCAGTCTCCTACAAAATCACATTCCCATACAACTGAACTGCATTCTATATTACGTTTGGAGGGGAACGTATTGTCTTTCGGTTCACGGTCGCAGTTTTAAAACATGCGGTTAACAAAACGGAACACGGCTCTTTGGTTATGTTTAGTAAAACATCATGAATTCGGCTTTAGGAAATTACATTTGTTACGTTATTTGAGTTTGTAAAAGAAGTCAACCTTGGTTTTGGTTTCACATGGGACACAAACAACGGTCTCCTGGGTGAAAGTCCAATGTTGATCCAAACCTCCTCACGACATGGAGTTCTATGGACTATGATTAGAAACTTATCTGGGGGTGAAATTACATTTCCCTGAACGTGAACGTTTTCGATGAACAAGACCGTAATTTTCAGGAGACCTAATTTCAGCCAGATATTGGCCTAATAGGTATTGGTTATGGGTGCATCCCTACACTATAATGAGCAGATAGCTAGATGTGTAGTTTTTTTCAGAACGGTAGCTAGCTAACTCTCAGGAAGCTGTGAACACAGTACTGTAGTTAAGGCTCATGACGGAAACGATTAACAGACACAAGTCGGGCCTTTTCAGTGTTGTGATGTGGTCATCTGGGCCGAATGACACATCACACGTCCCTTGTTAGTACAGTTTTAGTTGTAACACATTTTGGTACAGTAGTACTATGTTTTTCCAAGCTGGGCCTTTAAGACAATATGAAAAAGCCCTTATGCTGAATCTAACAATGCTGTCCTGCACAGACCTTAGCCTACGTCTATCAACCATGTTGGGGTGGAAGTGGTGGGCCCCTCATTCAAGAAAAGTTTCTTTCACTTTAGCCTTGAAGTGACCGTGAGAGAGTTAAAAAAAAAAGAAGAAGATACGGTAGAAACAATTGAAGTGGAATCTACGAACCTCATCCATTTGATATTGCAAGAAATTTGCTTTGATATGTACTCGCTGAGACGTCAGCATGGTGATTTTTTTTTATTTTTTATATCTGAATATATCAAAGGCGGTAATATATTGTGATTAAGACATCTGCTATAGCGTGCATCTCTCATTTTGGAATTCTTTCACGGGCCCAGGACATACTTTACAAGAAAAAGGATCTATATGAAAAAGGAAATAAAGAAGAAAAAGAAAAGCCCCGAGACCGAAGGGTCACGTCAGGCTTCCTGTGTGACCACTGGTCGGGTCTCCTCGACGATGAACTGAAACATACCTTAATGAGGAACTGACAGTACCTTAAACCCCGATGAGCACATATTTGTACCACTCCAGGTGCCTCTAGAACTCTTGATTTCATTCAGACGTGCTGCAGAACCAGCTAAACAAGCAGTGACACTGTAGCTGCTTTTGCTACTGAAGACACACTGACCGAGATGGGTTTTACTGCAGATTTGAGGTCGATTCAGCTTCAAGTCGAACAATTCAAACTAAAATAATTAAGTATTTTATAACCCCCCCCCCCCCCCCCCACCCACACACACACACACACAGTTATTTAGCTTGATTCTGGGAAACATTTTGATATAGAACTTTTTAAAAACGTCACTTGACATTGTGTTATTTTGAGTTTGATTGGACTCCAAAAGCTGAATTTACCTCAATCTTGAATTACAAAAGATTATTAAGGACGTGAAAACTCAAGCGGCAAATGAAATGTTTGCAGACTGTGTAAATGTCAATGATTTCATCATGGTTTCTATCATGCAATATCATGTATAAAGACATAATGTTGGTTGTGGGACGGGTCGGGGGCAAAGTCCAGTGATTTACGTTATGATAATAGTTGATTTTCTGTTAACTCCTGAAAGGCAGATGTTGCCAAAATACCAACATAATCTGTTAACATGAAAAAAAAATGATAATAATCCGTTTTTGTCTTGTATAACTAAAGAATGATATAGTGATATTTGTCAAGTACTTCTGATGAGATCTTTGTTTTTATGTGTTATTAACTGCAGAATCTTTCCTTTCTTTTACGGTTTACTTTCTGTGTATTTTGGTACGATGTGTGATGATTGTTGTTTCTGTCACATCGGATTTAACATCTTCAGATTCAATTTCAACTCACAAACGGATGACTGCTTGTCGGGACGTCAACACCCCCCCCCCCCCCAAAAAAAAATTTCATAAAAGTCTATTTATAAGGTTGCTTGATCATGGACAGAGTCTGAAAGAGGCTCATTGCTTTTCATTAATTATGATGATTTTGATTTGGGAAATTGTAATGTCTAATTAATTCCTATTTGTGAATAGTATTGCGACTCACCATGACAATTTCTGTTATTAAAAAAAACACATTTTGAGAAAGGTCGAATAAAAGATATTTTACATTCAATAACGTTATCCTGGCTGAATCAATGAATCATGTGGATACTTAAAGGGCAGGCGTGTAGGGTTTAGCGGCATCTAGTGGTGAGGCTGCACATTACAACCAACTAATCTTTTCCTGTGGGCCAAACATGTAGGGCAGGGGTATTCAATTAAAATTCAAGAGGTCCATTTAGAGAGAATTTACTCATGCAAAGGTCCGGAACATCACAATAATGTTTAACTTGCACTATGATTTTGTCCCATATTTATTGAAGTAGCCAACAGCTGTATTACGTCTGTAAGTAGTCAACAACTGACTGTCCTTTCAAATATAGAAAGTTCAATTGAATAATACCTCAACAATATTTATTGTCAGTTTTCAAATTAAACTGGATGAATTAAAATACATACATACATACACATACATATACATACTCGGATAATATATAAATGATCTCTCATTTCAAGTAAAATAAGGGTTGGGTTAAAAAATAAAATGCAAAACATAAAGCTTTTTAAAAAATGTGCATCTTAAAATAAAGTAATTCATTTTAGAAAAATAAGCTGAACTGAATTGACCTGCAGCTTTAAATTTAGTTCATTCAGGTGTGAGGTGATGTCACCCAAAAAAGCCACGATATTGTATTCGTATCTTCTAAAAATAGAAATGTGTGTGCAGGGACTTTATCTGTGGTTATTGAAACCACTTGTTTCAGCTCCATTCCTCTCTGGTAACATCACTGTTGGACAGTGAACTACTGTGTTGATTCTGATCATATTGAGTGGGTACGTTTGTCATGTAGTAGCACTTCACATTACCACTATTAATAATCGCCACGGTCTGTGAACATGTAAGACATACTGGTTTTGAACTGCCCGTGGGAAGAATTAACCTGTCAGAGTCTGTTCAGGCTCTGGTCTTGTCGTCCACGTTCCTCTTTTTAGAGAACATCATGTGAAATAACTTCTGTGACTCACATAACACTCATTTTCTGACTACTCGGTCTCTCGCCCGTCTCCCCAGTGTATGTGAATCTCACTCGAGTCGGAAAGTTTATCAGGATAGACATATTTGATTGGCTGAGTAGCATCATGTGAGAATATTTACAACGCATGTAATTGGTTGGTGTGTTTCCTGGACCGCTGAACGAGTGCCGTAAAGGCCAGCAAAGCTGCGAATGTTAATATTGAAGTGCTCCGTCAAAATAAAATAATTCTCAATTATCTATTGGTTTCAGGTCCAGGGTCCGGATACAACGTCGTCTGGATCCAGATCCGGACCGCAGTCCGCCTATTAGTGACCCCTGATGTAGGAGAAATAAGGTTTCTGACAGAAAAAAACAAAAATAAACAAATGGCCTTTTCTAGAGTCAGTGTTTGGTTTGTCCATTCTGGGCTACTGTAGAAACATGGTGGACTCTGAAGAGGACCTGCTTCATATGTAGATATAAACAGCTTATTATAAAGTTCTTATTTTCAGGAGATAATACATTAAAGAAAACATACTTATTAATGATATCACATTCCTAATAATATTTTCCCCCTAAATGCTACAAGCTGTTCCTTTAAAGCAAAGCCATAAAAAACGTTCTGGTATACAGTTCTTTATTCACACATTATTTTCTACCATAAAAAAGGCCCTGATGCCTGTATCCTTCATCGTACACAAAGTTGTGTTCAAAATAGGACTACTTATGTAATTAATAGCCGAGCAAGATCATCCAGTTCTGCTGTGGTGTCGAGGGTGAGTCACACAACCAAAAATATCACACAGGGGCCACTGCGCACGGATGCGCACCAAAGAGGGTGGCGTGGCCCCGAGACTGCCTGCAGCTTGAGAATCCGCAGCTCTGTCATAGTGATATACCTGCAATTCATCAGCGGATCTCTCCTCTGTGTGGTCTGCTTTTAGGAGCCACCACAACGGTCACCCAGCAGTGTTATTTATTGAATTATGTGTTTTATCCACTTGGAAGCTGTGAAGCAGGAAGAGACTTTATACACCGCAAGGCTGGCTCCACTAGAAAGAACAAAGTTCTACTTTTAGAAACCTCAAACGTTTCACTGCCATTTGGGTTTTGGAACCGACATTTAATTCTTCACCTGCAGGGACCCAAACCAGTACACTACATACCATGGGAGCCTAGTTATAGTTAAAAGTGGTAGTGCAAGATAGTGACAAGGAGGTATGGCAGGACATCTTTCATCCTACCTAAAACTGCAATTTCCTGCTCTATAGCAAAAGTCTGGAAACAGTGGGGATTATAAAACAGTATAATATTGTATAAAAACAATATTATTGCTGGTTTTTTTCATTGTTTAGCCTTATCTCATTCTGTACGATGGATTCCTGATTAATGTATCTCTGATGAACTGGTGCATAGAAATACATTTAACAGCTGAGAGAATCACAGCAGCATGTTGTGAGGCTAGTAGAAAAGCTTTGTAACTGATGGATCCACACCGTTTCACAACATTGTGATCATTAGTGGTTTTGGGAGTCTGTGTGGTCCTTCTCTCATGCCCTCAGTCCCACTTTGACCTACCACACTGTTAGCACTCCAGAGGCACAACCTCTCATTTACGGCCAACCTACCACAGTCAGCATCGCTCACGTAGAATCTCTTGACTTTGACCCATCAATTGCTGGGGTTTCATGCAAATAACAGGGTGACTATTAGGGGTGAAATATTGCACAATATGTCACTAAACATTCAAACACTAATGTGTCCAACACGGCGGCTTGGTCAGTGCTTCTACGCTTCAAACTGACACTCTACATACGCCTCTAGGGTTAGTTTTGGACGTGTCAGTTATAGGTCAAATGCAGTTTGCCAAAAAATACCAGGATGCTCTGCATTCGGTTGCATTGTGCAATATGCATGCTTTTCTGGCTGTTCTGACCCACAATCCAATTCAAAGCAATTCAAAGTTCAAGGATAAAAAGTAGTATGTCCCAATTGAATGCATACTGCATGCAACTGTATGTACTTTGTAAGAGACGCTGCAGTTTGTATTCAAAGGAAAAGTTCAAAGTATAATTTGAAAAGCAGACGGGGTATTTTCCCTCATCATTTTATTCTTTTTTTAGCTATTCAGAGTGTCATGAGGAGTGGAGCACATGGACTCAAACTCTGGAGACTGCAGGCAACAGGAACTTGAAGATATCATTTTATTTGAAGTTCACGCATTCAAGACGAAACTGACCATTACAGAGCAAACCCAAGACCAAACTGAAAACCAGGACCTAAAGTCGACTAATCTGACAAGGGGATGAAATACCAGGTGGAGAGATTGGGGCGGAGAAGCTCAGGTGATTCGGGTGGAGAACGCGCAGAGAGCTGATTGGTTGGGACGAACTCTGGGGAGTGGGGAAGGCCGAACAAGGCTGATCCAGAGCAGCTGTGTTGATGGGCAAAGGAGGGAAAGGCGTCACAAGGACCGATGCATACATGCAAACAGAGAGCCCAACAGGGGACACGGCAGGAGAGAGAAGCCCAAAAGAAACCCGAGGGAATAATACTGATGTACGGCCGTGGACATGACACAGAGATACCTAGTAAGTAGGGCCAATACTTTGCAAATTATGACTTCTTGCCGGTATCCCAAATGGGGCAAGGTTCCAAGGTAGTGATTTACTGGCATAAAAATACAATCTATTGTTGCTGGTTTGAAAGTATCAAAATGTTGCATCCATCTATTTTCTAGCTCTGGATCCTATCCCAGCACCCAATCCCCAGACGACAACACCATTGATATTGGACCGTTACCAATACCAACATGTTTTTAAATCCTCCCTTGCTGCAATATCTGTGGCAACTACAGAAGGATTATGGTTAGAGAAAGACTGTGGGTCTGGCAAATAAAGGTGGTTAAGGAACTAAAACACCTGGTTGGGTCTGGGGAGAGATTATGGTTCAAATTAATGAAAAGGACTCAAACTCCAGTCTCTTGCATGAAAGTCAACCATGCCGACCTCCACATCCTCCAACACAGTGTAGTACCAAATGTTGGTTTTGGAGATAAATCATGTATAGCGCATTGTCTTCCAATACGGCGGTTATTCTCTGGATACTGGATACACCTACAGGCAAGTTTTAGAATCCCAGCGGTAGAAAACCGGACCACCTTGAAAGGCGATACAGACACAGGAAGAACGTGCAAAGTGTCCAACCAGTACTGGTTAAGTAAAAAGAAAACAAAACATAAACTTCTTGCCATGTGAGCCCCCGCACGCCGTGAAAATGTTTCCTGTGTGAATAAAACGGGGCGACGAGGAGGCAGTGGTGGTTTTCTAGCTGGAGCCCCTCGACCACCGCAAGTTCCTTCCAGTACCTTCATGTCCTGTTTGTTTTGTCTTTAGTCAGAGCATGGTGTGTTGGCTGGTTACCGGCCGACACACGGAAGGAAGAGACTGACCACAAACATCCTGTGGTTGGTTACACATGCAGTAAAATAGGCCCGTGTGTGACAGACTCAGAGAGCAGCAGTTATTGCCCTTTGGGTCTATATTTTTGATCTATACATGGGGACTTACGGACTTTGCCCTCCAATTTTTTTCTGGATATCAGACGACATTACAAGTATCAGTTGACAGCGACAACAAAATAAATATTTGACATACTTTCTTGGCAATAATGTGGTCTTTGCATCATGCTATATGTACTGCAGCATATGCAAATAGTTAAAAGCAGAACAATGTCCTCTGCCAACCATGCCACTGTCTTCATTTCTATACTCAGACAGCATGCATTATATAAAATATCAGCTTTCCAATTTGCAAAGGAAACCGAAGCTGTGCTACCATAAAACGCTTGTGTCTTTTTCATGCATTTTTGATGTTTCAGAATGCAGTTTTGGAATCGTTTGGCTTGAACCAATTCCCTTTTGCGCAAGGGACAATGGCAGCACAAAGAGTAGCTGTTTTCGACAACGTCAGCATTCACTAAAAAATAGGTTTGGCTTTAGAAGTCAGCATCAGGGTGTACTGGGAGGTGGCGAGGGAAGGGAATGATAGAAAGAGGGGTAAGGAGAAATGTGCAGGTGAAAGATAAAATGAGGGTAAGATGATGAAGAGGCTGACATAAGATTTCCAGAAAAGCCCAGGTGGTTACAAAGGCCTCCACTGGAGCGTCCAGTTGGAGTGCCGGCCATCCTTTCACCCACGCAGGGCTAAAGGTAATATTTAGGGATGCATGAGTACATCTCCAAACACACCTCGCTGTAATATAAAAGTTGGAAACTGGGAGGAAACCAGGGAACTAAACATGTGGAGATGCTTTTTCTCTCTCTCTCTCTTTATTTCTCTCTGTGATGTGAGACTATAAATATTAGCCAGTGTCTACGGAGCCATCACAAGGACTTTTACTGGACAGTCAGAATTTGTTTTTAAGAAATAAGAAAACAGGTCGGAAGACTTATAATTAATAATATACGTGTTTGGACAATGTTACTTTCATTCAGTAACATTTACGGATGCTCTCTACCGCTGCTGTTTGCGTTCGGCTTGCCTCTCATTCTTCTATTGAACGATGGATACTCGGAAGCCTCCGTGTACCATATAAAAGGTGAGGACTACTTCTTCTTCCCTGTAGAGTGATTTGTTTATCCTGTAGCTGTGCAGCCTGGCACAGTCCAGGGGTTACTGCTTTTCCGCCCTGGGAGCATAAATCAACTCTTGTTGTGATTTACCTCTAGCCATTAAACCAAATGTCCTCTGTACAGTGACCTTGCATTCAACCCTTTGGGGCTCCTCACAGCAGTGTGTTCCTATTGATCCCCCTCAAAGGTCAATGACAAACCCCACGAGAATAACTCCAGCAGCCTGCAGGGATGGGAGGTCGCTAGATTGTATTGTGACTGACCTAGGGCAAGAGGGCTTTATGTATTTCGTCGTGCATATTTTTTTTTGAATCTGCAAATCTTTGAAGCAACCTCTTGTAAAAGACTTTCACCTAACCAGGTCATACCTCGAATTAGAAAAAGGAAAATATAGAGATTGATGTGTTATACCAGTGCTCATTTCCTCCTACAGGCGTCTGTTCTTATAAAGACAAGCACTACAAAGCAGGAGAGTCTTTCCGGAGAGGCTGCGATAAGTGCTTCTGTCATGACTTTGGGTCCTACTGCCTCACGTGAGTAGATCACTCACTTCAGGTCGTATTAATGGATTTCAATTCAACAAAAGTCTTGCTCATGGGAGTTCTGTCATGGTGAATAGTTGACACGGTCTCTTCTCTGTCCCTCCAGGCCAATGAAGCCCACCTCCTGGCCCAGGAAGTGTCGTTGGATCAGGACAGAGTGCGGTTACACTGTGGTGTATAAAGAGGACTCGCTGGCTGAGTGCCGAGCCTACAGCTGGATACGTTGACATGCAGGACTTTATGATGAAACTGTAGACAATACATGTTCTACAAAGTACATATTGTGTATTTGTGCATATAGTGTTGGTTCTGGACAGCATTACAGTGATATCTTTTTTGTTTTTTATTGACAAGTCAAATCATAATTTGATGCTTAGGGTGCTGCTGGAACCAAAGAGAATGAAAGAGGGGGCATCATCCCCAACTAAAGGTCAGGTCACCGATGTTTGACTTCAATCTCGTTTGTTGCATTTAACAATGTTAAATGCAGTTATGTCTTCACAATGGTGTCTTTGGGAGTAATTGACATTGGTTAGTACTGCATAGCATAACAATCCCAGTGGTCACAGTTTACACATATCAAGTTAACCATGACTAGTCAGATGATGATTCATTTCATCTTTATCCGGAGACCGCTGTTCGTATCCCGCGTGAAACCAAAGTAAATGTTTACTCATGCTTGGTACGTATAACGTTGTTATGCTTGTTAAGTAACGTTACGTAAGAAAGTCCACTAAAGGTGGTTGGTGTATACTGTTGTTACTGCTGTTACGCTACGTTGTTACGCTACGTTGTTACGCTACGTTGTTACGCTACGTTGTTACGCTACGTTGTTACGCTACGTTGTTACGCTACATTGTTACGCTATCATTTTAACACAAACCATGATGTTTTTTCTAACCCTAGCTTCAATACGTTAATCATGTGGTATTGTGCCAACCGTGATACGAGGCTGAAATGAAACTTATTTATGGTTCAGAAATGACATTCAACATGTCCCGCGGCATCCCAACATTTTTCTGGCAACTAGGCTGTGCATGAAAGTGGAATGAGAAGAACTGTTATAGTATTAAAGGAACTAATGTTACCCATAGTCGGCACTATGATGTATGAATACCTGTTATAATAGGACAGCATTACGTTACTAAGCAAGCTACTGAATAGGCAATCTTCTTCAAAAACATTCTTTTTATTTGTTGACATTCCCTTGACATCCCGACAGCCATCAATAAATCAAATACTAATGAAAAGATATCTGGTTTCTGTGTCTATCGCATATTGGACGGGCTACCTGCCTGTCCATCCATCCATGCTAGTTTGACAGCTGTGAGTACTAACAATAACCATGTTCGTTGTTTACTTTCATTTTTTGGGGAAGTGGCTTTTGAGGCAGGCCTGAAGGGATGGGTTGCCGACTTGGCGACTTTCCTTGGAAAAGAGTTGGCAAGAATTATCCAGTATACTCTTGCTAGTTTCTTAAGATTACCAACCCTAGTTCTAAAGTACATACAATATGAATGATCATGAAATGTATACTTTAAAAAATAATGATTTTATTAATTCACAATTAATCGCACTGAATAATAGCTTCACTCATAGTTATCAAATAGACAACTTCTCACTGGCTAGTCGTGTCAGGCCTGTCAGTTTAGCAAGAGATGATGGAAAATCACTCTCTGGAGCTACTTGTAGGACTCAAAAGTCTGGTAGTCAGACTTATAGTAGCTACACTAGAGAAAATCTATGTAAAACAACAAATAAAAAAAGCAGCATAAAGGGCAAGAGTATCCTACTCTGAATCTGGTGCTGAATCTGGAAAACACCACATTCTACAGGAATTCACCAATTAAAGTGAGTAGGTCTTTGGATAGTAGGCCAATAAAAACCTCAAAGATGCCCTGTGCATTTTTTAACGTCTCACAGATTGAGTTTGTGGCTGGTATACGTTCACAAGTCAGCCAGGCCGAGCTCCTGACAGCGTCTGGCCCGCGAGGACGGCAGATGGGAGACGACGCCTGTGGGGTCTGTTGGGAGGCTATCAGGAGGTCAGCCAAGGGTGGCGGAGGCACTGTGCAGCGGTAGCTCTCCTCTCCGGATGGTAGTCCAACATGCGAAGAACGAAATCTGAGAATCCAGTGGCCTCTTCCAACAGGAAGTGGTATTTCTCCACCAGAACGTCGAAGAGGCTCCAGAGCCTCAGCGGGCCGAATTGACGCAGGTCACCTGGGTGACACACAACCAGTATTACAGGAGGATGCTCACCAGTAGCAATTTTGAAATTATTTACTGGAATGATATCAATTAAAAGTATAATTACAATAAATACCACAAGACATACATCAAAAATAAGTTGTGGACTTACCTCTGCGGTTGAAGTACTCTGCAGAGCATTTACCCGACAAGGCAACAGCTGGTGGGATTTTACCAAGCAGCTCCATGATCTGGGCTATATGGTCTGAGGTGGAACAGACACACGTACGGTACAAGTCAGCATGCACTGCATCAATATTTACCAAGTAGCCACGGTGTAATCTTATTTATTCCTGTGTCAGTGTTTGTGACAAACACGCGTATGTCAGCGTCAGCACACTGAACTAAACCTACCTTCCTTCAGGGAAATGGACTCGCTGGCTTTGGGTTCAAATAGGGAGTCTCCAGTAACCAACTCGAAGGCCTGAGAGAATGCAAGAGACAATTAAAAGGGTGAGATGTGTGGCCAAGTTAGCGTCTCAATGTTAACCACACTGATTGGCAAACTGCAAACTGCCCATTATTACGACCGCCCATTAATCAGGAACCCTGATAGTCCACAAAATGTCACATTGACCGTAAGGCCATTTATCTGACAGCCCGTTATCATCAAAAAAAGGACCATTATCCAAAAATACACACTCTCCCTGCAACAAACAGAAGCACGTGGCTAATTATTCTGCAGAATAACTTTATTGGAACTTCCCGATTTTTTTTCTCCCGGCGAAGGCATTACTCCTCTCAAATTGAATGATCTTTTAAAATTCTGACTCACTAATGAGAGAGACCGATCTAGGGGGTGACTAGGACAACACACGTTTTCACCACAACTGACCGCTCACAGCAATCAAGTTGTAAAAAGAGGCACTCTGCCTCTTGGTACTCGTTGCCTTTGTTAGTTGGGTTGGTTAGGTTTAGGCATGAGGAGTGAGATTAGTTATGTTTAGGATTAACAATACCAGGGTAAGCCAATCAGAGAAAGAATAGGGTGGATCGTGACTTTGCCATGAGTGTGTATTTTCGGAGCAATGGCCTTTCAGAATAATGGAAGTTAGATGTCGGGGTAATTGGCTGGGCTTTCAGTCCAAAGGGTCCTTTTTCAGGACTATTGGTGTTTTCATTGGATGGCTACCATGACTAAAATATCTCAACAACAGTTGGATGTATTGCCATGAAATTTGATTATCTACTTACTCAACATGTGCACCCACTAGCAGGTCAAAGTTGGGAAACATCTCTGCAACCACAAGATGGATTGGCACATACCTTCGTACAGACTTTTCTGATTCTCAAAGGATGAATCTGAATGCACATTATCTGTATGGCTCAATAAATGCAGAATCTGTTTATAGATTACCACCCTAGTGGTGGGTCAGTCACTATAAGCTATTGCTATGCAGACAAACTTTGTTGAAACTTGCAGAACTTTATGCAAAAATCTAGTGTAAATCCCAAAGATACAGTCGGGTCAAATTTTTTGAAAAATGTGTACGAAATTCCCCACAAAACTAATATTGTGGGTTTGAATGTTTCACACAGTGAAACCTTAGTATCATGTGTTTTTTCCCTCACCATGCAGGCGACACTCCAGATGTCAGCAGGAGGACCGTACTGAGATCCCAGTAAAACCTCCAGTGAGCGATACTGACGGGTCTGAATCTCCTCACAGAAATGTTTGTACTGGTCCAAGAAAGAGAGACAGACATAGCAGACAGTAAGGTCTAAAGTGTCTGTATCCACAAGGTGTTATGTTTTTGACTGTTAAACCTGCAATAACATTTGTTTTTGGCCACTTCGGGTCAGCGGAAGCAAGTTGTGAACAACACTAACATAGTATTACCTTTTAACTATATGGCAAACTTGTTAGCAAACACTTGCTTCTTTACACAACCAGCAGTTAAGGAGCAAACATTAGCATTCCAACATGATCTCCCTTGTCGTCAGAATTCGTCGCTTGGGCAGAAGCTGTGGTGTCTTCACGCAGAAGGTTTGCGCGTGGTTAGCTTTGTAACACGTCGCTCGTAGCTTTAGGCAACAAAAATACTTGGTTAAAAAAGATCATGGTTTGGGTTAAAATAAGTATGTCTGTTACGTAACTTAATACAGACGTAATGTCATGTGACTCAGCGACGTGGCGTCACGTGGCATAACATCGTCATTAAAAATAACTCAATATTTGGTTTGACATGTGACACAAACGACGGCTGAATTAAAAGTCCTGTGTTTGTTTGACCCCTTTGCCCCCTTCCTGCCCTTAAAAGTACGTTCTCGCCCTTTATAGTACGTAATTCGCTCTGAGTGTTTAATAACATAGGTTATATATATATATTCTTTCCACAAAAAAGTAGTATTTCTCTGGTTCTCTCTTTTAGCTCTGTTTTTGGTCTCCACCAACTCATAAGAGCGATGTCGGGCTCCTTAACTTCTAAATACCCAACAATGTTCACAAGCTAATCTCTTACTTTTTCTGTCGGCTGTGGAGCAGAGTGGTGGGTTTTTGAGTTGTTTAGCTTAAAAGCTCTGGCTGTTGCGGCTTGAGACGATGATAGTGATCAAAATAATAATGAAATAGAAATAATTAATTGTATGTTCAACACTATGAGCGTCCCCTTTCCCATTACAATGTTTACATTGCCATTTGAAAAAAAAAAGACTAATTTTGTTTCCGAACTACATATTTTGTGCTTTTATGAGGTCAAATGTCTTGTACAGATGGACCCTTCTTGTAGGTCTAGAAATTGAAAACAAATTCAGCACTTGGCTAATGTACTACGTCAAACTGTATAATGACTGTGTGTGAAAGAGCAACTACTGACCACCCAGCAGGAGCTGCCCAGGTCAGCAATCTTCACTCTAATTTCCTTTAAACTGTACGGCTTCACCTGCTCCTTCTCTGGAAGAAACAATAATAAATCATGTTTTCAAAATCTGACTCTTTCCAAGATGATATTTTGGATTGGATACATCAAAGCATTTTTTTGTTATTTCTTAGTTTAGATATCAGTACAACCTGTTTGTTAACCCCTAACATTTACAAAATGTGTCTACAGAGCAGAGACTGTACTTTCAAAGCATGTCATTGGCACACAAGTTTGTGCCGCTCAGACAGTCCAGCCTTGAGACTTCACTCTTAAACAATCTCCAGCAACTGTTTTTATATATTTAAAAAAGAATGTGCCTGTGGACTTGGCCTCTTTCCCAGTCAGTACATAGGAGGAGCTGTTGTCCCCCGCTGGTACTTTGTGGGACTGCTCCTCCAGGCACAGCAGGATGTTCTCGGGCTTGACATCCGTGTGGATGATTTTACACCAAGTATGGAGGTAATCCAGGCCTTGAAGAACCTAGACACAACCCAAACATGATGTTCCCCTTACATACAACCAGTACTGAACTTTTTTTCTGATCTCTGACTCAATCAGGGTGAACTGGTGGTTTAAAGAGATGAGGATTACCTGAGTGAGTATTTGTTTAACTGAAGGCCGCATCAGTCCAGGAGCCCCCAAAACACTTCTCAGGTCGGACCCCAGCAGCTCCATCACCAGACACATATCTGACCAGGAGGCATTTGAGATCGTTTACATGTAAGCTATTGAATAGCAGCATTTACTGTACGATGCAATAAGGGGTCAACCTCCGGTTCTGCCAAGTGAAATCCATGCGGAAGTGTCTTAAAACTTGCATTCTCTCTACTGACCAGCAGGGGGCGACTCCTCTGGTTGTATAGAAGTCTATGAGAAAATGACTCTACTTCTCTCTTGATTTATTCCCTCAGTAAACATTGTAAACATGAGTTTATGGTCTCAATCTCTAGTTTCAATACAACATGATGTTCATTTAGTATATTATGGTCCATTTAGAGTCAAACAGACCATAAAACCATAAAGCGGAGTATGCTTTAGGGCGGGCTTACTATGATTGACAGGTCGCTGCTTCTATCAGAGCCGTAAACAGCATCACTACTTCACTCCTCCGCATTTCAATTTCCGTTTATCGGTTGCATAAAACAACAACATAGGGATGGCCGTAATCCAAGATGGCGACGGCGAAATCGTCAAACTCAAGGCTTTCAAAATGGCAGTCTAGTCATGTCCACTTCTTATATACAGTGTATGGATGCCATGCAAGGCTGTTTTCAGTGAGGCGACATAATGCCATCTGTTGTTTACATCTCTGAAAGATTCAGTCTGTTTGAGTTTGCAGAAATAAATCAAATACATGTTGTTGTTGTATAGTTGATATTGACACTCCGACCATTTGACAGAGGCTTTTTAGTGGCTCTTTTAGAGACAAAAGCTCTTCAGCCCCCGGTGTCGGGTTGAGAGTGGACGCCCAAGAAACGGTTTGTCTATGAAAAGGATACGAACCCCGTTGACCCCGGCCAGCTTGAACTCATCCAGCAGCTGAACGATCCTTCGACTGGAAGGATGCCTGCTCGTAGGACCACTAGCCTGATTAAACGGAGAGGAGGAGGGGGAGCGGTGAGAGGAAGAAGGGGGATGAAAGCAAAGAATAAAGAGGACAGGGATGGATAGAGAGGGATAGCATTATTGTGAATAGCGTGAATAAGTGTTGAGATAAAAGTCGAAAGGGGAGATGTCTGACAAGGGAAGAGAATTCTAAACCCAAAGGCAAAAAAATCAAAAGAACGTGTCACTGACGCATCTTAGGAGAGCGAGTTCGTCCTGTCCTGCCTGGGTGAAGCCAGCTCCGCTCTTCAGCACCTTCACAGCAACGCGCCAACCGAGCCTGCTGACACAGACGGTGGATCAGATCTGTTTTTCGGATACAGGACAGAATCCTGCTCTCTGCTGAATCCATGAAAGCTGCGCTTTAGTGTCATACAAACATGTATTTTTTTTATCTTACTTATGTATGATCAGATTAAAAAAAAAGAGAAGTTCAACATTTCAAATTGCGTTTAAAAAAAAGAAAAAAATCTTTCTAAGGGACTGTACACAAATTATTAGAAGGGGCGGGAAGGTTGAAATAGGGGTGTGGTTATGTATATTTACTGTGGCAAAATGGCTCTTTGGATAGTGAAGGTTGCTGACCCCTGGTACAGTCCTACCTGAATTAAACCTACCTGAGGTCCAGACAAAGCCACACAGTGGAGTAATAGCCCCAGCCCAGCTTGGAAAGCACCTGGTATCGTCTGTTGAAGGTGTCACCTATCTGGACAGGGTGGTACCCACCTGAGATAAAAACAAGAGAAACCTTACAAAGGATCTGTTCGCATCTATTATCTTTTTGTATTATTCCATGATTGATGTGTGAAACCTTTTTATCATACAGTAGTTTTCATCTGTCGTTTAGAAAGCTTAGAGAGCGAGGACTAAACTCTGGCACTTCAGCTATTTCTGGGATTATAACTTACTCTAAGCTATACAATGTCTGCAGTGAGTATTTTTATACAGTGAGACAGTCAAATCTCACAGCGGGACACTGAAACATTAGGATGCATAAGCTTGTATCAGTTTTCTTTCAGTCGGCATGAGACAAACGTCTTGGATATCATCAAGAACTCTTGAAAT